GATTCTATATGCTGTGAGGAAATCTTGATAGTTTTCCCTCTTGATAGTTTTTGTATATATCAGAAAAACACTTATTACATATGACAGTGTTTCAAAATAGGCTCAGTTTCCCTGTCTTTTGCTCAGAATTTCTCCAACCCCTTTTTAACCTGAGGGTATTCTGCCTCCTAGAACCAGCATTTATAAATTCCGTTAATACAATGATATCTTCATCATACTGCAACATCTACAATGTTTTTTCAGCATATTACATAAGTACTTCTTATCACCTGGCAATAACTTAAGGAAACAAAGAGTCTCCCAATGCTAAACTGATTTGAGAAATGTTGCTTTAGCACTAAGTTTAACTCTCCCTTTCCTCTTTCATATTTTAGATTATATTGTAGTTATTTGTATGTCCTGATCTCCCCAATAGGCATTGTGGCTTAATGGTTAGAATGCTTCATGATGGAATCGTGAAGAACTGAATCTATAGCTCTTCTCTGACACGTATTAGTTTTGTGGCCCTCTGCAAGTCACTTAATGTCTGTGCGTTTTGGACAGCTCCCCTTCTGCCACCATTTGCCCCATACTGTTGAAGTTACGGATCATTGGTCTTTACCCATCTTCTCTACCTGGCTGTAATAGATATTTATTGAATGAATGAATAAATGAATGCAGCTCAATTTGTGGAAACATTAGCACCCTGGCCTCCGCTTGGGGTGTCACCCTCCCATTACTGTAGTGGATCAAACACTTTAACTCTGAAATGTAAATGGAATTTTTACAGCTGCACAAATAAATTGCTGGCACATACTATATGTATAAAATATATATTTGTTGAGTTTAATTGCATCTTACTAGGAGCTCTGTCGGGATTCTCATGCCTGGAGCCTTGTATTTTTAGGGAACAGAGGCAGGAGATTTAGGAAAAAAAGCCTAAATGGCTAAGCCTGATTTATTCTTTACTGTAAATGCTTATGTTCACCAGTGTCCACTTGGGCCTGTGTCTTCAGTTTTGCTGTTAGTGACTCTTCTTGCTTTGTACTTCTAGTGTGGATGAGTTGGCTCTGAGCATGTATCCACCTTTGAATCGGATGGCTGTGCGACTAAATGTAAGTATTTATTCTGGATGAGCAACTACAGACTTGGCCAACATGCGTTCTAGTTCCCTGCAGGGTTTCTCAAAGGGGCAGTGTATGTGTTAATGACTATAGCAGATACCAGTAGCTCCTTCCCCCATAGACTTACAATTTGAAAATTAAAAAGAAAATTATGTAAACTAATTGAATGCAAGTTTTTTTTTCATAAACCCAGCTTGACCATTGACCAACTGTAAATAATATAAAAGATTTAGGGGTCTCCCTGCCGACAAACCAGGAATTATATGAACACAATTACAAAACACTTCACGTAAATAAAGTCAGATCTAAACAACTGAAAAAATATCAATTGCTTGTGGGTAGGCCAAGCCAATATAATAAAAATGACAATTGTGCCTAAACTGATTTACTTATTCAGTGCCACCAATCAAACTACCAAAAAATTATTTGATAGAGCTAGAAAAAATACTTTATTTCTCTTCAGAATACTTATTTGTCTAGCCAAATAAAAAATTGCAAGTGCTGAATTATTTTTAAAATTTCATTTAATTTTAAAGATCTTTGTACTTTCTTACTTACCCCTTAATATACTTCTAAATCTTTGGTAACTTTAAAATGTACAGAATTTGTTATACAGGTTTATGTCATGTTACTTTGATGTTGGTATGTGCATTGATTGAAAAAATTCTGTGCATTGATGGAAAAGTGAGAGGGAATACCAGTCACCTCACCTGACAGCTGTGTGTGTATTCCAGGCTGTCTAGAATGGGGGACTTGAGATGAGGCAGGACGGACCCTTTGTGACTTGGCTTACTGCTGTATCTCTCCCTTCGCTCTGCTTTCCTTTTCTACTGACCGAAGGAATTATTTCTCTGCTTTTAATTTATAGGCTGCGAAACTTGCATCTGTGTTGAAAAAGGTTCTTGAAATCACAAAGTAAGTCTGAAGTTCCCAGATCCTTTTAGAATATGCAGGAGTTATCCTCTTTCAGACATCATATCTTTAATTTCTGTGGGCAGATAATGGTAGATGTGGACTGCACATGAAAACTGTCCAATTGTGAGTCTCTTTGATTCTCTGCTTCCCCAGGAAGTGTTTTACGAAAGGTTATTTGAGGATGGGCTGTCCCTTGAAACTATCAAGAATTCAATTTCTTTGTCCCCCCACACTTTTCAGGGCAAGTCATGTGTGTCCCCATGAAGAAGAAAACCGGATCCAGTTTCTGTCAAGTGCCATTGATCACAACATGAACAAAATCAAAAACCTTACCCAGGGTGAACTTTGAGCCTTCTTCCTCTTCCTCTCCTGGTGCCGTAGCCAGGCTCTGATGTCAACTGTTAGGATGGAGCCAGTAAGCTTCCTGGGTCAGGAGAGCTGTAGATTGCACTTAAGAAGACTGTGTCCAAAGGCCGTCAGCTACCCAAGACTCTTAAATGTGTGCAAACCATGTGAGCTCGATGCTTTTTATGGGCAGAAGCAAAAGATGATTATATGACCTTCTGTTTATGTTACTCAGATTCCTGGAGAGCTTTGTCCTGTATATTCTTTATTTACAATAAAATATCTTTTTTTTTTTCTGGAGATGATGCCAGGTCTGTAATGGCAATTCTTCTATGAGTCTATTAGTCATTGAGTATTAAGTGCCTGCTGTGGGCCCAGCACTGTTCTAGGTGCTGAGGATACAGATACGAAAATATAAAAGCAGTCTCCGCTTCCAAGGAGTTCATGTTTGTCCTCCACATCTTGCCACATATAAAATCAGAGTGTGCTCCTGGCATCTTTACCCAAATCACTGCGATTGCTTTGTTGCATTGAGCTCACTTGCTTTGGTTTTATTATCAGTAAAAGCAGAGCCACTGTTCACTATGACTAGCACTGCACTATAACTAGGACTTCATATGTGTATACTTCATTTGCTAATGCGGGTGGTGACCCTTCTGTGCTTTGATATAGATGGTTTCAGAAGTTACTGTACTGTACCTACCACCACACCTTCCTTCCCTACTCCCTCTTCCCTACCCCCAAAAAAGAAAAGAAAAAAAATGCACATGGTGACCTGTTTTAGTTTTCTAAACTTGGCACAGCTGGACTTTGGATTTCAGACCCAGAGTCATTTCCTGAGCCAGGACATGAAGCCTTTCCTGCTTTGTATAGGACCTCTCTGTTAGAGCTTGTGCTCTCCTGGCCACCCTTGTAGAGAACCAGTGGACTTCTCCCTACTGCGAAGCTTCTGGGCAGAACTTCACATAACAAGGGATGGTTAAGGTTCCTCTGTTAAAATGGAACTTTGCTGTGTCAAAGTTGACAGCTGGCCGGAGCTCGAGATTCTTTGTTGAACAGAGATTTCATGAAGTGCTTTTGTCTGTATCCCTTTATGTCCCTGAGACCAAAAGTGAGTCACTCGACCCAATCTGAGCCAGTTGCCTTAAAAAATGGGGGTGACTATAATTGGCACTGCCTGCCTTGCAGGGCTTGTATGAACAGAGTGAAAGAATGTATACAATGCACTTTGTGAACTTGAAAGCAGAATTGTAAACTATTAGTTCTACAAACTACTCTAATAGTATATGCGCTCCATAAGAGTGTAAGCTGAATATTTATAAATGAAGTGCTTTGGAATGCAGTGGAGGGCCACGGAAGCCTCTGTATGTACGTTTTCATCTTCATAATATTGAATTTTCTTAGAATGATGTAAATATTGAATGATATTTCAGTAGCATTTTTTCATGTGTTGGAAAGGCTCTCCTCACAGCCCCACCCCTAGTCTCTTTCATCCTGTAAACCAATTTCTGCTATTTTAACTTGTTAACCGAAACCCAGGGAGCTGTTTAAATAAGAAACATTGACAGGTGTGCATTATACACAGGATGTCCCAAAAGTCTTGTTGTTTTAAGTTATTAAAGCTCAATGTTTGTGTACAATTTCTTGTTTTATTTTTAAAAATACACAAGGCAATTTAGTAGTCTTAAGTTTAGGTAAGGGTTGTTCAGTTGTTTTAGTCATGTCCAACTCTTAGTGACCTCATTTGGACTTTTCTTGGTAGAGATACTTGAGTGGTTTGCTATTTTCTTCTCTAACGCCTTTTTACAGATGAGGAAACTGAGGCAAGCTGGGTTATGTGACTTGCCTAGGGTCACAGCTAGTAAGTGTCTGAGGCCAGATTTGAACTTGGGTCTTGACTCCAGGCCCAGCACTCTCCACTGCATCACCTAGCTGTCTTTAGGTAAGTGTGGTCGTCTTTGAAAATGAAGTATGAACAAAAAGGATAAAAGTTCAGAAAGGAAATAAAGATACAGTGTCAGAATGCTGAACTAAGGTAAGGAACCACGTCCTTTATGGCTTTATATGGTCCATTTACTATGTATTTGGTGATTTCTACTTCTCTTAGTTCTATATGCCAGACTTCAGCTGTGGGACCCAATCTGACCCTGGGAAGTCGATGTCCCTGAGCTTGTTTCCTCATCTGTAAAATGAAGATAAAAGCACCAACCACTTCATAGACTTCTTGCTAGGCACAAATAAGATAGTGTGTATAAAGCACTTTTAAAATAGGGCAGTATAAATGTTATCTATTATATTACATTGTGTACAATTTATATCTATTGTTTATGGTACTGGTAAGGGACGACATTGACACATGGTTAAATTGTCGCCAAATCTCATTTTGGGGAAGAAGTTTAAAATATTCCCAGAGGTGTATTTGTTTTGCCAAATGTGTAAAATTGACAGAATTAAATCTCTTCTCCAATCCCCTCTTCTCCCCTCCTTTCTCCTCCCCTCCCCTCCCCTCCTCTCTCCTCTCCTGTCAGAGTTGTGAAGATAAATGAGATGATATTAATAAAATGTTTAGCACAGTGCCTGGCACACAGTAGGCACAACCTGGCATACAACAAGGTGCAATATAAATGCTAGCTGTCATTGTTTTTTTATTATTCATTCTGAAAGCTGTAAAGCATCGTGTTTAAAAAAAAAAGGTATCATCCTTATATAGTAAGACACCGAATTTCCAAGGCTGTCATAGTCCAGCGTGGTAGGAGTCCCCTTCCTACTTATTCATACCTTTTGGGTCTATTGTATTCATACTAGAGGCTTAGAAATGATTTGAGCCGAGACAAGCACCTTCCTTCCCACCCTGAAATGACGTTAGCACATTAGAGAATCTGGTATGTTACACTTCAGTTTTGCAAGGTGTGTGCCTTTCTTGTGTTTGTGGGTGTGTCATTTCACAACCAGAGACAGAGCTACAGGTGGGAAGGTGCATCTGGCCAGCCTAAGCTGGGGATAGAGGCATCACCACATTAATATTCTTGTAGCCTATTAGGTTCTGGAACATGTTGCAATCCACTTCCACGGTGAGTCTTTGGAGCCCTACATGGGTTGGAGTGAACTGGATCTGGCAGTAGAGGGAATTTCCAGGCCGGACGGAACCTAATCTGAAATTTACAACAACAACAAATAAGCAAAAAGTAGGTTGCTATGTTTTAGTTCTGTTTTTCTTAGGAGCTGTGGAAAAACTTAGGAGTCAGGAAGACCTGAGTTCAAATCCAACCTCAGACACTTTCTAGCTCTAGGCAAGTCACTTAATTTCCATCTGCCTCAGTTTCCTCACCTGCAAAATGGGGATAATAATAGCACCTACCTCTCAGGGTTATGAGGCTCAGATGAGATATTTGTAATGCTTAGCAGAGTTTCTGTCACATAATAGGTGCTTAATAAATGCTTGTTCCCATTCACCTTCCTTAGTCCTTCTTGTTGGTTAATCTAACCTGGGGGGATCTCTCTCTCTCTCTCTCTCTCTCTCTCTCTCTCTCTCTCTCACTCTCTCCCCCTCGCCATGTGTATATATATATACACACACGCACATATATATGTATGTATATGTGTATTTGTATGTACATATATAATATGTGTATGTGTAATATGTGTGTATGTAATATGCCTATGTATATGTACACACATGTTTATAGATAGATGGATGGATGGATGATACAGTGGCAGGAGCTCTGGGCTAGCAGCCTCCTAAGATCTCAGAGTTCTTATTTCTGTTCTGTCAGGGGCACGTGCCTGTGGACTAATCACAATCTGTTCGGGCCTCAGCTTCCTCATCTTTAAAATAAAGAGGTAGGGCTCAATGGCTTCTGGGGTCCCTTCCAGCTCTTGTGAGATTCAGACTAGACTCAGCAGTGAAATTATATGATACCTAATTTCTTACCACTAAGGCCAGAGTTGATTGTACGGGAGATAAGATGACTTGTGTTATTGGTATACTGGAGCCTTCCTGGGCCACAGAACCAGAAGAGAAGGACATAGTCATCTAAGCCACTGATCCCTACTTAAGCTCTCTTGTACTACACCTCATTGTGGTTCTAGAGTGGTGAGACTCCTCCACCAGCAGCTGCAGATTAAAATAACAATAACTAGCATTTCTATAACTCCTTAAGGTTGCTAAAATGCTTTTACATATATTACATTTTTTGATCCTTACAACAACCCTGTGAAGGGAGGGGCTGTTATCACCCCCATTTTTTTTTGAGGAGGAAACTGAAGCTCAGAGCGGTTAAGAGACTTGTACAGGATCACATAGCCAGCAAGCATAGGAGACAGGATTCAAACTCAGGTCTTCCTGACTCCAAGCCCAGTCTCCTATTCATCATGTCACCCTACCTGGTTGTGTGACCTGTGGCAAGTCACCTAATTTCTCCTCACTTTTTTCATTTGAAAAATAAGTATAGGGATGACTAAGTGGCACAGTGGGTAGAGCACCATCCCTGGAGTAAGGAGGATCTGAATTCAAATTTGGCCTCAGACACTTACTAGCAGTGTGACCCTAAGCAAGTCACTTAACCCTAACTGCCTCAAAATTTAAAAAAAAAAGAAAGAAAAATGAATATAAATAATAGCTCCTACCTCATAAGGTTGTTATGGGATAGAGACAGGGATTGGTACTGTGATTTCATTGGGGCAGGAAACTTAGGGATGAGAAACTTCCTCTCTCAATAAAAGTTGGTACTTTATCTGTAACTTGTAATCTTAAATTTGCCTATAATTGCTATGTTTAGGGAGTATGCTCAGGCACTGTGACCTCAGGATATTTGAGTTGGAAATGCCTCCTCCTTTTGCAATGCCTATGTCCTGGGATCTGCAGTTTTCCTATGAGGGATATCCAAAAAATAAGTGACCTGGGAGGTCATGAAAAACCATTTTGAATGTTTGCATTCTCTAAAAAGGGAACCTTCAGCACCCTGTTGTTGGGTTGTTTCAGTCATGTCTGACTGTTCATGATCCCATTTGGGGTTTTCTTGGCAAAGATATGGAGTGGTTTGCCATTTCCTTCTCCAGCTCATTTGGCAGATGAGGAAACTGAGGCAAACAGTTTTATGTGACTTGCCCAAGGTCACACAGCTAGTAAGTATTCTAAGGCCACATTTGAACTCGGGAAGATGTCCTCCTGACTCCAGGCCTGGCACTCTGGGTGCTATGGCACCACCTAGCTGCTTCTTAGTACCAGTCCTAGCCTTCTTCATAGATGAGACAAGGGCTAGGTGGGTGTTAGATGTTGAGGCCATGGCTTTATATCAGCCTGACCCTGGCTTCAGAGACATTAGGTGGTTGTAAGGAGCATGCTATGATGGATGAAAGGCTAGAATTGGGTCAAGAAGATGTAAGTTCAAGTACTATCTTTTGATACATCATCTTTTTGACCCTGAGCAAGTTACTTAATTTATATGAGCCTTAGTTTCTTCAACAACAAAATGGGTATAATTAATAACTCCTACCTCATAGGGTTGTTATGGGATAGGGAGATTGACTAGAATTATGATTCTGTTGATATAAGGAATTCTTGGATGAGAAAACTCTATTTCTGTAGGGTGCCAGCTTCTCTACAACTTATAGAGAGTTGCCTAGACTAGGACACTGAGGGGTTAAGTGACATGCCAAGTATGTCAGAGATAGTCATTGAACCCAGATCTTCCTGACTAACAGGGCCATCTCCAGTCATCCTGATGTAAATCTTGCCACTGGACCCAGATAATTCTGGAGGAGAAAGTGAGGCTGGTGACTTTGCACAGCCCTGCCTCACTTAAATCCAATTCACTTGCATGTCATGGCATCACCCTGCTGTCATGGTCCTCTTCGAGAACAAAGGACAAACAAACAACAAACCAATCCTGGCTCTAAGGCTATCTGTCTATTCACTATGGCTTAAGACCTCTACAGGGAGTGGTGGGAAGGCTCAAATGAGACAGAAACGTAAATCGCCTTACCTAGCCTTAAAATGATCTATAGAGGTTATTATTTGTTTTGGGTTCAGATCTATGATTTCATTTCCTTATTTGTTATTTGGTTTTGGTTCAGATCTATGATTTCATTTTCTTAGCAGAAAACTCTCTCTACTGACAGAAATCAATACCTCTGAAATTTAGAGTTGCTTGGGGCATTGAATGGTTAAGTGCTTTGACCACTGTCACATGGTCGGTTTACATCAGAGGTCAGGTTTTAAACCCAGGTCCTTCTGACACCGAGGCCAACTCTCTGTCCAGTACCCCTATCTTAGGTCTTGCAATTTTAGTTTAAAAAATTCTACAATGTCATGTTCACTTGCTGACACCAAAATTCTGTTCTCATAGAGCAATGATATCCTGTGATTCTTTGTGATTCTTACAACTGGGAACAATTTGGATGTCAAAGCACTGGCCCCAACTCCCTCACCACACCATGCCCTGGATAACTCTCCTGCAATGGGAAAGATGGCAGAGTCAGGGTGCTGTCAAGATTGCCTCATCTAAGTCCAAAGTATATCCATTCTCAATCCCTGGAGATGTGGTAGATCATATCTGTGACTTTGAACGTCAAGTTTACTTTCCAATAGAAGAGTAAGTGAAAGGCCCAGCATGTTGATATGGGCCTATGATCCCAGCTACTGAGAAGGTTAAGACTGGAGATCTCTGGAGCTCCAGATTTCTGAGCTGCAGTAGGGTATACCAATTTGGTGTCTGCACTAAGTTCAGCATTAATATGGTAATCCCCCAGAAGTGTGTGGGTTGCCTAAGGAGAGGTGAATCTGCCTCGGGTTGAAATGGAGTAGGTCAAAATTCCCATGTCGGATCAGTGGTATAGCCCTTGCACTTCCAACTTGGGTGAGATAGGGAGATGCAACCTTTAAACATACAAAAAAGCAAATAGATAAACAAATGAATGAACAAACAAATGAATGAACAAATAAATAACTGAAGACATTTGGGCTATGTTCTCATGAGTCGTAACTATTGGTCACCAGCCCTAAATCTGATTTGATTGTTTCTGACTAGCAAGAAGAAAGGGCCTGTCATTCTGTTAGCAGCCTTTTACCTATAGCACCTTTCTCTGTAAATGAGTCCTCTTCCAAATGCTGTGATCACACAATCTTCCATGGGAGAATCCAACTTATTCTGAACATAGATGGAGGCTGTGACTGGTTCATGCAGGCTTACCATCTCTGGCACCTGTGGGGAGAAATGGAACCCATCATACCTACAAAGGGCTGGCTTGGAATGTACCAAGGACATGTTTATCATGGCAGTGACTATAAGTAAAGAACTAGAGGGAATGAAAGTTACTCCTTCCCTACATCAACACAATACTCCCAGCCTCCACATACCCTCCTGGCTTCAGCCATGGTCACAATCTGAACCCTAATACCAGCCTTAGCTCAAGGCCACAGGCTACACAAAGAGAAAAGAAATCAGCACAAGGCCAGCATCTGTTGTCTGTAATTGAAGAAAACCTTCAGTCATGATGAAACATGCTTCCTCCCCACCCTGCTATTCACCTCCAGACAGAAAACCAATGGACAATGCAGATTGAAGCTTATTCCCTTCTTTCCTTCCTCCTTCCTTTCTTTTTCTTTCTTTCTTTCTCTCCTTCCCTTCCTCCCCCTTCCTTCCTCCCTCCCTCTCTTCCTTCCTTTCTCTTTTCTCCCCTTCCTTTCTTCCTCCCTTCTTTCCTGTCTTTCTCTTCCTTTCTTTTTTCTTTCTTTCTCTCTCTTTCCCTCCCTCCATTCCCTTTGTTCCTTCCTTCCTTTCTTCCTAAGTAATGAGGGAATTTATTTTGCGTGACTGCACATATTTGTAATTGGCTTTGGTTTTCTTCCTTTCTCTATGGCTAGGGGAGGGAGAAGAAGGAGGGAGAGAATTTGGACCTGAAAATAAAATAAAATTGAAAAAGTAAAGAAAAAAACAAAAAGAAAATCTTCACAATTGAGGAAGATAGAAGTTTAGGTTTTACATGGTAAGATGGAAGGCTCTCTGGGAGACAGAATAAATATCTCTTGAATACAGAAGGAAAACCTCCTGCTTGTACACAGGGTCTCCTACCTAACCATTACAGTAAAATTGTCACTCAGCTTACTCTGTGGCGCTCTCTGCTCATTCTGCTTTTCCCTGAAAGGGCCAGATGCCATTTCTTGAAGCAAGGCTATGATCTGATGGGAGAGAATAATTCAGGAAAGTAATTCAGGTCAATAATTCGGGTAAGGAGCAACCCCTAACCTCAATGGTGAGCTGTGGTTTACAGATGGCAATGTCCTGTTGAGCAAAGTAGCTAATCTCAGGATCTGTGTGGGTTGCCACAGCTGTCAATCTCAGGATGCTGTTCTCCGGAGGGCTTTGCATGAACTGGGAAGAGGACAAGCTGGTACTGATGGTTCTAACTGAAACACAAGAGGAGTAGAGATCAAGGGAAGAGAGTGAGAGGTTGGAGAAGACCCTTTAAAACAAGACACACAGTCACAGGATGGTTAAACTGCCGTTACCCTAACAAAATCATTGAAGTGGGCTTCCATAGCTTGAGTAGGACTGAATGTGGTGATCCTTTGGGGGAAACTGAAGGCATGCTTAAGTTTACTTTATGGAAGAAATCTGCTAAACAGGTGAAGAAAAGGGCAACTTGAACTAGGTCTCATTGACCTGCCAAAACTTTCTTTGAGGCTATTTCTCCTTTTGCAAGGGAAGACAGAGGGCTCTGTGCTTGGGTGGTATGGAAATGGATTTTACCTTCATTCTCTTGAATTGTAAGTGATAACTTCTTTTTATAGAGCTGAGCCTTGGTGACTCCGTTGTAGTCCATGGCCTGGATCCCTATCACCAACTCCACAGCCCTCTCCTCACTAGTGTAGTTAAAGAATTTCACAGCTAACTCAAAATTGCCATCCAAAGGCAGGCAGCTGGATGAATCCAAGAGCATGTACAGAGGACCCGATGTCTCTGGGCTGAGGGAGAGCCCATTGATCTTCCCAGCTTCAGCTCTCTCTTTCCAGACTTTCTCCAATAGTTCTCTTTTTTGTGGAGATCCTGAAGGATGAAAGATATAGAAAACTCACCTCTCAACCTTTAGAGGTTAGATCAAGGGCTCTTAATCTTTTGTGTGTGTGTGCCATAGCTGACCTTTGGCAGCCTGGTGAAGGCTATGGGCCAGTTCTCAGAATAATGTTTTTAGATGCATAAAATGAAACACACAGGATTACAAAAAAAAAGCAATTATATTGAAATGCAATTGTCAAAATATTTTTTTCCTTCCAAGTTTGTGGACCCTTACAAATCTGCTAATGCAGTTCTTGGAAGTTCATGGACCCCAGGTTAAGAACCACTGGATTAGATGTTCTCAAAGGTCCTTTATGACTCCAGATAGAGATGTGGTTGATCTTAAGTAAAAGATCTGAATTAAGATGTATTGTGGTTTTAAATCTGCTCAAACTCCAGGGTTACAAAAGCTCTTCAGGGTACTAGTGTTTGATATAATAAAGAGAAGCTACATTGAGGATTTAGAGCGTAGCTTTCTAAGTCAATGAGCGGCCTTTTTAATACCACAAATATCACAAAATTGCCCGTTTGAAGGAAATATCAGAGGTCATCTAGCCCAAACCTGAATGATGATTCCCCTTACGTTTCCAACAAGTGGTCATCTACTTAAAGCCTTTGCTTGAAGACTTCTCAAAGTGACAATTCTCTGCTTTTTGAGAGAGAATAAATATCTCTTGAATACAGAAGGAAAAACTCCTGTTTGTACACAGGGTCTCCTATCTAACCATTACAGTAAAATTGTCACTCAGCTTACTCTGTGGCGCTCTCTGCTCATTCTGTTTTTCCCTGAAAGGGCCAGATGCCATTTCTTGTAGCAAGGCTATGATTTGATTCTACATTGGGATAGCTAGAATTATTAGGAAGCTTTTTCTTGTGTTGGGCTGAAATCTACCTCCCTATAGTTTCTACCCATGGTTCCTAGTTTTTCCATAGAGTGTTCTCTAGGATTCGGCACACCTTCATAGGACACCAACATGGTTACCATGAAGGTGCCTAGTATAAGAGTTCACCACGTGATTACGGGCAAATCATTTCAGTTTCCTTATCAGATGTGGAAACTTTTATTTTCCCCTAACATCTAATACAGTGCCCTACATTCAGTAGGCGCTTAATAAATGCTCATTGAATTTAATTGCTTTACAATTTGGAAACTTTGAGGTCCCTTCCAGCTCTAGTTTCTATGATCCTATGGAATCTATGAACATTGAACTAGGAATGAAGGCCATATTCCAGTCCCCTCTGTCACTTACTAGCTCTATGATCTTAGGCAAATCTTTACATCTCAATCTTCTCATCTGTAAAAATGAGAATGTTACCTTTCCTTGATGTATGTGCAGATATGTATGTGCATAAACATGTAATACACATATACATATATATGTGTGTCTCTCTGTGTGTGCTGTTTCCTCCAATAGAATGTAAACTTCCTGAAGGTAGGGTTATTTAATTTTCTTCTTTGTACCTCTAGTACTTAGCACACTGCCTGGCACATCGTGGGCACTTAATAAATTTCTGCTGATTGGTTGATTGATTGGTTGATTCTGCCAACAAAAGTCCTTACATATATGGTTGCTGTGAGGGCCAAATGTGAAAGCATTCTGAAAACTACAAAAATCTATACAAAAGTCAGGTAGTACTATTAGTTGAAGAAACAATGAATTAGGTGATGATTGAATTGAATAAAATATTATCATTATTATTATTATTATTATTACTACCATCACTGGAAAGGAACAAAGAATTGACCTCTGGATATACTATGGAGTTAGGTATTCATATTTAAAGCATGTTTCTCAGGACAAGAGAGAAAGTTGTGGTTTCATTGCTTCCAAAAACCATCTCCACTTTTATTGTCATTGTTCAGTTGTTTCAGTCATATCCGACTTTTTATTTGACCCCATTTAGGGTTTTCTTGGCAGAGATACTAGAGTGGTTTGCTATTTCCTTTTCCAGCTTATTTTACAGTTGAGGAATTTGAGGCAAACAGAGTTAAGTGACTTGCCCAGGGTCACACGGCTAGGAAGTCTCTGAGGCTGGATTTGAACTTAGGTCTTCCTGACTCCAGGCCCAGCTGTCTATCCACTGCTCCACTGCACTAGTCATTTAGTTTATAACTGCCTTTCATCCTATTCTTATCTGATCAGATTAAATGAGACGATATATGTAAAGTGCTTTGCAAACCTTAAAGCACTATGTAATTATTATTGTTATTGTTATTATTATTCCCTATAAAGATTTCCTCTAACCATTTCCCCTCAAGCACTGTGTTGGGTGTCAGGAGAGTCATGGTGCTGCCCTGCCGGGCTTCGTACCTTCATGGCATTTGTAGTTTTGGGTGATGTCTTCACAACGATCCCCTCCAACCCCCTTGGTGCTGATGTTGTTGCCCACGTACTTGGGGCTGGCATCAGCTCGAACCACCGTCCCATTCCTGCCCTTCATCCAGACTGCACAGGAAGCATTGAGTGAGGCAAAAAGGGCTGGCACCACAGGGCTCAGCTCCAGAGCCCCTTCCTTGATTGCCCTAACTGGAACTAGATCACAGGTCACCAAGACTGAAAGAGAGAAACCGGTCAGGTTAGACTAGAGAAAACTTCTGGTCACCCCTGAAGGAGAGGAGGAGCTGCCCCAAAGCAAGAGAAGTCTCCTTGACTTTCCCCACACCCTATGCCTTTCAATCCTCCTTCCCCTCCCTCCTTCCTTAGTTTCTGGCCATCGTTCTTACTCTCCCGGGATCAGGGTGAGAAGTGGGGATAGAGTTTCTGAAACTGGGGTTCTTAGGGAAGTTCTAAGGGCATTATAACCCTTTGGTGGTAGAGCTAACAAGAAACATCAGCCTTTTTGCTTTGATCAAGAGGTGATGTGCTACGCAGTAGGTTGTAGGTATTCTCAAGATGGTGGCACAAGAAACCATGGAGAAGTATAAATGTAAAGACTTCACAGCTAATTTTACCATGTCTTTCTCCCTCTGTCTTTCCAGATCCTTTACTGGCTTTCCATTCTTACCATCAGCTCTACCTTCTTTCTGAAGGCTTGAGTCCACAATCTGCCATCCTCCATAACCTGGGGGCAGATCAGGTCTTGCCATCCAACATTCGGTTGAGACTTGGAAGATGCTGTGAGTAACAAAAGGGAAAAACTGAAGTGGGAAAGGAGCACTAATGAGACTCTAGAAATAGGAGGCCTCAATATTTAAGGAAACCCTGATGTTTTTCAGTGAGGGTATTCTATCCACCAATGCAGATCCAAGCCCTGCTAAACCTTAGGAGATTCCTCCTCCTCCTCCTCCTCATCATCATCATCATTGTATTTTCCTCCATCATCATTGTCTTCTTCTTCTTGTTCTCTTCTTCTTCTTGTTTTTCTTCTTTTTCTTCTTCTTCTTGTTCTTCTTGTTCTTCTTCTTCTTGTTTCTGTGGTCAAAAAGAGTCAGCACCTGGTGGCCAACTTTCTGGAGATGACCCTTTCTGAACTTAGGCTGGTCTCTGAATAATAAACACAAGGCTTTTGTAGTTTCATAGGTCCTATCGGAGCTTTTGGTCTCTACGCCCTAGGCTTTGAGAACCCAGGATTTCCTTTATACCATGGAGAGGCATCAAAATAGACCTTTATTAAAGAAGGAATGGGATGTATCAGAAGTGCTGCACAAATCCAGTAAGGAGGCTGGAGATGGGTTGTTTCTAGGCGTCTTGTTTTTGCCCTTCTTTGTATTCCCAGCAGTTAGCACAGTCCCTGCTCCATAGTAAGCACTTGGTAAATGCTTATTGACTGACTAGGAATAAGGCTTATGGGTAGTTGCTGCCTCTTTTGCCTCTACCCCTTGAGTCACTTAACTGTTTACCTTAGTTTCCTACCTTATCATGGCAATGATGGTGGGAAGAGATGAGACAGGTGGCTCTGGATTGCCTGCTTCATTGTATGTACCCCTTTGGCTTAATTCAGCCTCTATCCCACACCCTACCCTTTTACCCTCTGGGGTTTCCTTACCAGATTCGGCTTCCTTGGTTCTCTCCAGTCTGAAGTCCATCCTCATCATAATATTCATTCACAGTCAAGTCTCCTTTTGTGTCTTGGGCTGAGTCAAAGATTGTGATAACTCGGGCAGGAATACCTAGGGACCTCAGCACTGTATGGGAGAAGGGGATAGTGGGTAAGTCTGGGCCCCTGGTGGGATGGTGAAGAATATTTATAACATTCTACATCTGTACATAGCACTATAGTAAGTGGTATGGAGATGACAAGGGAAGAAAAAGATAGAGTCCCTAGATAGAGTTTGAGGAATTCATACTCTAATTGAACAGAAGCAACACTTAAAAAAAAACATATAAAGGTTTTGAAATATGGTATTATGGATGCTGAGTGAAGTGAGCAGAACCAGGAGAATGTTGTACACAGTAACAGCCATATTGTACAATGATTAACGTTGATAGACTTAGCCCTTCTCAGCAATGCAAGGATCTAAGACATCTCCAAAGGTCTCATGATGGAAAATGCTATCCACATCCAAAGACAGAACTACAGAGTTTGAATGCAGATCAAAACATACTATTTGCTATTTTTTTCCTCTGTTGTGTTTTGTTTTCTCTTTTCTGTGGTTCCTCCTATTGGTTCTAATTCTTCCTTACAACATCACTAATGTGAAAATATGTTTAATAGGAATGCATATGTATAGTTTATATCAGATTGTGTGCTATCTTGGGGAGGGAAGAGGGGGGGAGAAAAATTTAAAACTCAAAAGTTTATGGAAGTGATTGTTGATAAATCAAAATAAATTAATTCTAAAAATTTAAAAAACTATAAAAAAACACAAAAAAAGAAAGAAATATGGAATTATACTGAGAGGGTTACAAAACTGTGTATACCCTTTGACTTAGCAATGCCACTATTAGGTCTATTTCCCAAGGTGATCAAGGAAAAAGGAAAAGAATCTATATGTTCTAAAATGTTTATAGCATCTCTCTTTGTGGTGGCAAAGAACTGGAAATTGAGGGGATGCCTGTCAGCTGGGGAATGACTAAACAAGTTGTGGGATATGGCTGTGATAGAATACTATTGTGCTGTAAGAAATGATGAGCAGGTTGGTTTTAGAAAAGACTCATATGAAATAATTCAAAGTGAAACAAGCAGAACCAAGACAATATTGTATACAGTAACAGCAATATTGTTTGAAAAGTAAAATTGTAAATGACTAAGCTATTCTGAGTAATTTGTTGTTGTCCAATCATTTCAGTCATGTCTGACTCTTTGTGACCTCATTTGGGGTTTTTCTTGGCAAGATATGGAGTGGTTGGCCATTTCCTTCTCTAGCTCATTTTGCAGATGAGGAAACTGAGGCAAACAGGGTTAAGTGACTTGCCTAGGGTCACACAGCTAGTAGATGGCTGAGGCTGGATTTGAACTTAGGAAGATGAGTCTTTTGGACTCCAGGCCCAGCACTCTATTCACTGAACTACCTAGCTGCCCTTATTCTGAGTAATGTGAACATTCAAATCAATTACAAAGGACTTGTGAAGGAAAATGCTATCCCACCACCAGACAAAGAACTGATAGATGGAAGTACATATTGTATGGCACTATACATACATACATGTATATATATATATATATATGTATATATATAAATATATGTATACACACACATATATAATATATACACATACATACATGTATATATATGTGTGTTTTACTTGTGTGTGTGTGTGTATGTGTGTGTATAATCTTGGCTTGTGTTGACTTGGAATTCAAAATGTAACAACAAAAAATAAATGTTTAAAAAAGGCTTTCAAATAAAAATATAAACAAATGTAAAAATAATTAATATAGAGCACATGGAGAGACATTATAATATAATATAGATATAGATGTATACATTAATATGTATGCCTATATATGTGTATCCCACATCTACATATGTAGAGTGTTAGGAAATGCTGAAATAGAATGAGCCTTGAGGCAGGGTAGGGTTAAGTTAATGTTGCATCTGTGTTTGGAGGAAGATACAATATTCTGAGGAGAAGGGGAGAGTATTCCTTTCAAAGCATAGAAAAGCAGTGAAGAGGGGGCAGAGCCAAGATAGCAGAGGAAAAGCAGTGACTTGCTTGAGCCCTCCCAAACCCCTCCAAATACCAATAAAAAAATGGCTCTAAACAAATTCTAAAGTACCAGAACCCACAAAAAGACAGAGTGAAACAAATTTACAGCCCAAGACAGCCTGGATGGTTGATGGGAAAGGTATATCGCGCCAAGCAGTGAGAGGAGCGCAGTTTGGCATGGGCACATAGGCAAGGCAGGCCACAGCAACCCTGGAGCAGGCCTCAGAGGACTGAATCACGGTCAGCTGTGGAGGTTTCCAGACTTCTCAACCCACGAACACCAAAGACAACTTAAAAGGTCAGTGGGAAAAGTCTGTGTTTGCAGTGAGAGAGAGAAGCTCTTGGTCCTAGCCCTAGTCCCCAAGCTCAGCCCCAGGGCGGCGGCTGCTTCTGGAGCTTTTGGCCCACAGACTGAGGGGAAATTGAGTGGCTGATCAGAGGGGGATTGCAGGAATCTCTCTGCTGGTGCAGGATTCTCTTGCTTTGCCTGTGCTTGGATCAGGGTCACAGTTCTGCGTGGTGGTCCTGGGGCAAGGAGGAGCTCTGGCATGGTGGAGCTTGTAGTGGCGGTGGAGAGGAATTCCTACTCACAGTTCCAAGACAGAAAAGAGTGCTTGTGGTCACTCATAGACTAGGGCACAGGCCAGGAAAGGAGTAAACACCTCGCCCTTGATCATAGCACCTTGGAAAAACTGAAAATTTGCAGGTCCCTAGAAGTATCTCTGAAAACAGCTGCACACCCCCCCCAAAAAGCTAAGGACAATACATTCTCCACACTGGAAGCAGACCCCTACCTTAACAAAGAGTTTATAACAAGTAATTGGCTGAGATCATGAGCAAGCAGCGCAAAAAGAGTCAGACCATAGAATCTTATTTTGGTGACAAAGAAGATCAAAACATACAACCAGAAGAAGACAATAAAGTCAAAGCTCCTACATCCAAAGCCTCCAAGAAAAATATGAATTGGTTCCAGGCCATGGAAGAGCTCAAAAAGGATTTTGAGAAGCAAGTAAGAGAAGTAAAGGAAAAACTGAGAGTGATGCAAGAAAATCATGAAAAACAAGTCAACAGCTTGCTAAAGGAGACTCAAAAAAATACTGGAGAAAATAACACCTTAAAAAATAGCCTAACCCAAATGGCAAAAGAGGTCCAAAAAGCCAATGAGGAGAAGAATGCCCTAAAAAGCACAATTGACAAAATGGTAAAGGAAGTCCAAAAGCTTACTGAAGAAAATACTTCCTTCAAAATTAGAATGGAGCAATTGGAAGCTAGTGACTTTGTGAGAAATCAAGACACTGTAAAACAAATCCAACAGAATGAAAAATTAGAAAACAATATGAAATATCTCATTAGAAAAACAACTGACCTGGAAAATAGATCCAGGAGAGAGAATTTAAAAATTATTGGTCTATCTGAAAGCCATGATCAAAAAAAAGAGCCTAGACATCATCTTTCAAGAAATTATCAAGGAAAACTGCCCTGATATTTTAGAACAGAGGACAAAATAGAAATTAAAAGAATCCACTGATCACCTCCTGAAAGAGATCTCCAAAGGAAAACTCCTAGGAATATTGTAGCCAAATTCCAGAGTTCCCAGGTCAAGAAGAAAATATTACCAGCAGCCAGAAAGAAACAATTCAAATATTGTGGAAACACAATCAGGATAACACAAGATTTAACAGCTTCTACATTAAGGGACCGCCGGGCATGGAATATAATATTCCAGAGGGCAAAGGAGATAGGATTACAACCAAGAATCACCTACCCAGCAAAATTGAATTTAATTCTTCAGAGGAAAAAATGGTCATTCAATGAAATAGGGGAATTTCAAGCATTCTTGATGAAAAGACCAGAGCTGAATAGAAAATTTGACTTTCAAATACAAGACTCAAGTGAAACATGAAGAGGTAAGAGAAATCATAAGAGACTTATTAAGGGAAATATGTAGGGAAAGATGATATTTGTAACTCATGAGACCTTTGTCACTATTAGGGTAGTTGAAGGGTAAAAATTATATAGATAGATAGATAGAGGGCACAGGGTGAGTTGAAGATGAAGGAGTGATATCTGGAGAATAAAATTAAGGGGTGAGAGAGGATTATACTGGGAGAAGGAGAAAGGAAGAGGTAGAATGGGGTAAATTATCTCACATAAAACAGACAAGAAAAGACTTTTACAGTGAAGGGGAAACAGGGGGAGGTGAGAGGGAATGAGTGAATCTTATTCTCATCAGATTTGACTTAAAGAGGGAATAACATACACACTCAATTGGGTATGGAAATATATCTTACCCTATAGGAAAATAGGGGTGGAAGGGGACAAGAGAACAAGGTGATGATAGAGGGGAGGGCAAATTGGGGGAGGGGGTAATCAGAAGCAAACACTTCTGAGGAGGGACAGGGTCAAAAGAGAGAATAGAATAAATGAAGGGTGGGATAGGATGAAGGGAAATATGCTTAGTTTTTCACAATATGACTACAATGGAAGTGTTTTGCTTGACTTCACATGTATAACCTGTATCAAGTTGCTTACCTTTTCAATGAGGGTGGGTGGGGAGGGAGGAAGGGAGAAAATTTGCAACCCAAAGTTTTAAAAACACATGTTAAAAAAAATTGTTTTCACATGCAACTGTGAAATAAGAAATACAGGAAATGGGGTACAGAAATCTATCCTGCCCTACAGGAAAATAGAAGGGGAAGGGGATAAGAGAAGGGGAGTGGTGAGATAGAAGGGAGGGTAGATTAGGGGAAGGGGTATTCAGAATGCATGCCATCTTGGGGTGGGGGAAGGGGTGAGATGGGGAGACAATTTGGAACTCAAAATCTTGTGGAAGTAAATGTTGAAAACTAAAAATAAAAAAAAAAGAAAAGAAAAGCAGTGAAGCTAATGAGCTCTGTGAGCTAGGCAGGTAGGAAATGACTTTTACCTGAGCAGGTGACAGCTGCCAACACCCAGCCCTGCCCATCAGGCACCTGCCGCCCTTGGCCGGTGAGCCAGTGCCAGAGGATGGGCAAACTCCCTCGGCGCTTATACAGGAATCTCATGTCCCAGGAATCTTGGGTTTGGGGCGTGGTCAGAATACTCTTCTTCTTTCTGTCATTCAGCTGTTGAGGAATTGGGAGTCAGAGTGAGATGTTAGCGCACCTCAGTGAGAAAGGCCCTGTGCTATATGGAAGCGATATATGAAAAGGTCCTACTTCCAGGTTTGGGTGTCCCCTAGAACCGCCTTCGTTTTTCTTTTTGTCTTCATTTCTTGTCTTCTTTTCTTTCTCCCTCCTTCTTTCCCTTCTTCCTTCCTTTTCCTCTATCTCTGCTCTGCCTCATCTCCTTCTTCTTCTCTTTATCCTTCTCCCCTAATTTATACCAAGCCACTTCTATGTCTTTTCCTAACCTAAACCTCTGCCCCTCACCCATCTCTTCATCAAGGTGACCAGATTCACTCATGAAATATATCATTCTTCTGGAAGGGTTTTAGACAGACTGGGGAAAACACTAGGACAATCTGTAAGAAAAGGTATTATGGATGCCCTACCCTTAAACCATTTCTTTTGGTTTGTTTTTTTGGTGAGACAATTTGGGTTAAGTGACTTGCCCAGAGTCACACAGCTAGTGAGTGTTATGTACCTGAGTCCAGATTTGAACTCAGGTCCTCCTGACTCCAGGGCTGGTGTTCTATCCATTGCGCCACCTAGCTGTCCTGGTCCTTAGACTCTTAAGTACAGTTTAAAACCTAAATCTCTGAATATGTAAATAACAAATATTAAAGATAGACACTTTGCAAGAGCCCTAGCCTCTAGGAGGGAAAAGGAATAAAAGGTAGTGGGGTTAAAAACTAGGAACTTAAAATTGGGTTATTTTCCCTCCTTATTTCCAAAGTGAGTCATTAACAACATTTATTAAGTACCTACTGTGTGCAGAGTCCTATGCTAGGTTCTAGAGTGATATGCAAAGCTTGGTACCACCTTTTTCTACATGAAGACTTTTCTGATCATCCTCTGCCACCACTGCCCTGACCCTGCAACTGCAAGTGCCCTCCCTTCCCCAACTGCTTCATATTTATTTTGTAATTATACAAAACGAGCCTCTAAATACAGACACAGAAATGGACACAGACAGACAGACACACCAACACACTTACACACTGTGCTTCTCCATCCCATTCACTTACCAAGGTTCCAAGTACCCGGGTCACGTGTACAGGATTACTCCACTGGTTGACTTCCTTATCTACTTCCAGTAAATTCAGGCTGAGATCAATGACATTGATCTCAAACTGTAATTGCAATGCAGGAGGATGTGTCAATGACCCTTAAATGAGTCCTTTGGTGTTTTTTTTAATAAATTTTTAGTTTTCAACATTCACTTTGTGTGTGTGTGTGTGTGTGTGTGTGTGTGGCAACTGGGGCTAAGTGACTTGCCCAGAGTCACACAGCTAGTAAGTGTTCTATGGCTGAGGCCAGATTTGAACTCAGGTCCTCCTGACTCCAGGGCCAGCACTCTATCCACAGTGCCACCTAGATGCCCCTCAACATTCACTTCTATAAGATTTTGAGTTCCATATCTTTCCCCCCCCTTGATTCTCCCTCCCCAAGATGGCACCAATCTGATGTAGGCTATACATGTACAATCATGTTAAACATTTTCACATTAGTTATGTTGTGAAAGAAGAATCAGAACAAAAGGGAAAAACCACAAGAAAGGGAAAAAAAAAGGGCAAATATACAGTATGCTTTGATCTGCATTCAGATTCCATAATTCTTTCTCTGGATGTGGATAGCATTTTCCATCATGATTCTTTTGGAATTGTCTCAGATCATTGTATTGCTGAAAAGAGCTGAGTCTATCAAAGTTGGTCATTGCACAATGTTGCTGTTACTGTATACAATATTCTCTTGGTTCTGCTCACTTCACTCAGCAAATAAGTTCTTTGTAAAATAGGCTCCTAATCTGAGATATCCTTCACCTCATCCTTCTCCAGAATATTTTTCCCCCTTTTCTAGTCTAGTCAGCCTCTCTTCTCCACCCTCTCTGTCCAATCAAGGACTCTCACTAGGTCCTGTTTCTTCTTCCTCCTCCATGCTCTGGCAGGTGTTTGTCCATCAAGAAGTTAATCCAGAGGAAAAGGATGACCTACTGAGATGCACTGAGGCCAAGGAAATTGGAATTTCCATCTCTGAAATGGACACTGAGATTTGTAACCCAATTGCCCCTGTCCATCCTACCCTAAGAGTTCCAGTACCTGGCCAAAGTCCCAAGGCTGAGGCTGGATGCAATCTGATGTGCCCAGGTAGATGAGGCCATTCTGGTTCAGCAAATATTCTCTGCGTTGTGCCTCATTCTCCAAGAATACTGCATCCTCTAGAAGGGTAAGTGGAAAAGATCAAAGCAAGTGTGGTTCCCAGAGTTATTCTTAATGTCATGACCTCCACTCACTCAAGGGAAAAAGGCCAAGGTCAGTAGAGGTCTTCCCAGCCCTGAGGAAAATAAGAAGACCCACTCTTACCACTTCCACAATGAGCAGGCTCTGTGGGCCTGCTTTCTTGAGTAGAGAGCAGGAGAGGATGCCAGGGATGTTATTAGGCTTCTAAAATCATAATTATTAGTTGACACTTTCTGACTATTTGGAGGGAAGGAAAAAAATATCCCTTCCTCCCCATGCCCACTCCAACCCTTTCAACTATAGTTAGAATAGTAGGTCTCAGAAAAATGGGTGGTGATGAACTTTGTGAGTAGGTTAAGGTGACATCTTTCTGTTATTAATAGGGCAGGACTTTCTTGATTCAAAACCAACACAGCTCTTGAAAAGGGTTACCCTCAAGTGAATCTGGCATCAGATCTGGCATAAACTTGCAGAAGGCACAGTTTTGGCTCTAACCTTCAAATGCATAAGATATTAAGGAAGAAGGTAATTTTTGTCAGACCCTTACAAGTAGCTTGACTAGACTAAAAGAAGTGAGAAGGATATAATGAAGAGATATACAGGATATCCACTGTCTTTTTTTTGGTGAGCAGAGGATGTAGCCTGACCATATTTGTGGCTTTTTTTATCCCTTCTCTTCTTCTTTTGATCCTCATATTTGGGGTTTAGAGTTGGTAGGCTACCTGATTTGTGTCAAGTAAACACAAGATGATCCTAGGAAAAGTACTGATGAGTTATCTGGTTTAGTCCTATTTGTTGAAATAGGTAGGTATCTCTGGAAAGATTGCTTAAAATTATATTTTCATTTTGATTGATGTACATTGGCACTGAGTTAGAAATTTTCCCAAAAATCTTTCCCCCAAAGATCTCTTGAAATCTCTCTATATAAAATCTCTTATATACCTATATCTCTATCTCTATCTCTATGTCCATATTTCCTCTCCCCTCACACAGCTACCATCCCAATTCAGGCCCTCACCAGTCTCAGCTGGACTCTTTCAACAGTCTTTTAATGGGTCTCTCTGACTTTCTTCATTCCAAACCATCTTTTTTTTTTTTTGCACTTAATAGTATATCATTTTTGCAACTACATGTAAAGATAGTTTTCAACATTCATTTTTGTAAAATTTTGAGTTCCAAATTTTTCTTCCTCCCCCCTCCCCAAGACAGCAAGCAGTCTGATATAGGTAATACATGTACAATCATGTTAAACATTTCCGCATTAGTCATATTGTTAAAGAAGAATCAGAGCAAAAGGGAAAAACCAGGAGAAAGAAAAAACAAAAACCAAAAAAGTGAAAATAGTATGCTTTGATCTGCATTCAGATTCCATAGTTCTTTCTTTGGATGTGGATAGCGCTTTCCATCATGAATTTTTTTATTTAATTTTGAACTTAACAAATACCTAACAAAATTGGCATTCCTCATACATAGAGGAACAGAGAAAGAGGATTGCACATGAAACTGCATATCTCTATTATGTACAGTTTGCTTTTGTTTTTACAGAAAAAATTTAACATGTAACTTTCAAAGCTATCCCGCTTGTTCATGATTCTTTCTGGCCTTCCTTCTGTTGTCCTGGCTGTTCCAAGAATAAAACATTCCATCTCTCAATTCTGGACATTTTCTCTGGCTATCCCCAATACCAAGGAGCATTCTCCCTTCTCCGCTCTGACAACTGACTTCCCTGACTTCCTTTAAGTCCCAACTAAAATCCTACCTTATACAGAAAGCCTTTCCCAACCCCTCTTAATTCCAGTGCCTTTCCCCTGTTATTTCCTAATCATCTTGTATATAGCTTGCTTTGTATATATTTGTTTGTATGTTGTCTCACCCATTAGATTATAAGCTCCTTGAGGGCAGGGACTGCCTTTTGCCTCTTTTTGTATCCCCAGCGCGTAGCACAGTGCCTGGCACATAATAGGCACTTCATAAATGTTTATTGGTTGATTGATTGGCTTCTGTGCATTTAAAAATGTTTCTTTTCTTTCTTTTCTCTTTCTTTTGTTTGTCCACAATCCATCTTCCACTTCACTTCCAAAGTGACTTTGCTAAAGTGTAGGTCTGACCATGTCAAATCCCTGCTTCTTGGCAAATTGCAGTGGCTCCTATTACCTCCAGGATCAAATGTAAAGTCCTTTATTTGTCATTTAGAGCTCTTCACGACCTGGGTCCTTCCTGACCTTCTGATTTTCTGACATTGTACTCCCTTCACATACTCAACTGTCCAGCAATGCTGGCCTGCTTGTTTTTTTCTAGAACACAATACTCCATCTAATTTACACCAGCTAATTTGCACAAGACATTTGCCCATGTCTTCAATGCTCACCGCCAACCTCTGACTCCTAGAATCCCTGGTTTCCTTTAAGATTCAGTTCAAGCACCACTTCCTCAAGGACTCTTTCCTGACTCCCCCTACCTACTGGTGCCATCCCCTTTAAGATGCCCTTTTAATCTCCTCTGTATTTATTTGTCTTTTACAATCTGTCATCCCCTTCTTTGAAATGTAAGCTCCTTGTGGGCAGGGGCTGTTTTTAAAATTTTTCTTTTTTTTTTTTTTAACTTTTCCTTTGTATCCCCAGGGTTTAGCACAGTGTGTGACACATAGTAGGGACTAAATAAATTCTTGTTGATTGATTGGTTTATTTCCCTAGTTCTCATTAAATACCAGCTTCTCCCCTCTCTCCTTTGTTGTTATTCAGCTGTTACAGTTATGTCTGACTCTTTATGACCCCATTTGGGGTTTTCTTGGTTAAGATACTGGAGTGGTTTGCCATTTTCTTCTCCATTTCTTTTTACATATGAGAAACTGAGGCAGAGAGGGTTAAGTGACTTGCCCAGGGTTATACAGCTACTAAGTATCTGAGGCCAGATTTGAACTCAGGAAGACTCATCTTCCTGACTCCAGACCTGGCACTCTATCTACTGTGCCACCTAGCTGCCCCTCCCTTATCCCCTACTCCATCTCAAAGAAAGGCTTGTCTGTTTTATTCAGTGAAATTTAGTCCCCCACAACATTCTATGGCCATGTGCTCAATATTCAGGAACATTACTGGCTGATAAAGCAAACTTCAGCAGCCCTTCCCAGAGTAGTGTTGTGGACAGAGTCACCTGGCTGACTAAAGGTGTGGTGGGTAGGTAAGCAGGTAGAACAAACTGTCATCAGATGGAATTGACAGCTCCTAACGAGATGAAAATAGCATCACACTAGCACAACAGGAGCTCAATGGACTTCTGAGTGGGCCTGTTAATAAATGCTCCTTCTCAAAGAAGTAGGCGAAGAAATATCAAGTTCAAGTGGTGATACAAAAGTGTTTCTGGGAAAAAATAATATCTGAATAGGATCCTGAGAAACTCCCTGTATGCCTCTTCTGCTCTTGCATGGCAGGGAGGGTGGAGGGAGGGGAGAAGGGATGTATATGCCATTGAAGTAGGAGAGAAATGAGAGCTAGAGTTCTTTTACTCTGGGGGTTCTAAGTTGGTATAGAACCCTCATAGACTTCTTCCATTCTAAGAGTTCCCGTTCTCTCAACCTGAAAGGACAGGTTGGGGAACCTGAGAAGAATATATGGGTGTTTATCAAGGTGGCTGTCCTGTTGCTAAGAAGTTCAGAACCAGGGCAGCATACACATCTCCTCGAGCTGATTTTTAGTTGTCCAGATGCCCTACCTCCTTTCTAGACCATGAGGGGTGATTAAAATGGCCCCAGGGATACAGGGAAGGAAGAACTCTACAAAGAATGGTTCTAAGACCCTCAAGTGGAGCTGCTTATCCTAATAATTTTCTCCAGTTCCCATATTCCATACTCTCCTTTTGGGCCATCAATCATTTCATTCTGGGTATCTTCTATGAAGATAGCTCAACAACTCTCAGAATAACCTCAAGCCAAGGTTTGAAGGTGCTCCTGAAATTTGGAGTCCTCCAGAAAAAGAATGATATCTCATTGTAGATATTAATTTTCAGCCACATAGCTGCATTCCTTCATTATGAACTACGATCCCTTTTTTTTTTAAGTTCTAGGCTTAAAATCAGGGCACCCCTTTGTTCATTATCTTGATTAAAGTTTCCTGCTGAGGTCAGGAGGACACAATTCCAAGCATCCCATAAGTTAATGAGTACAGATGACTTATGATTCAGTACCCAAGTGAGGTTTATGTGTCCCTGGAATCTATAATGGATTTTTGAAAACTATTAATTTAATTACACTGCAGAGGAGAAAAGTCAATAAAATGCCGAAACCCAAATGGACACTTCCAGTTGCAGACAGGAAGAAGCTCCTGGAGGCAGATCTTAACAAGCCAATGAGTTCGACCTTCCTGATCCTGCCAAATAGTTGCGCTCTTTCTAACTAATTCACATTTATTCTGCTTATTTTATATATACTTGGATTTGTTCAAGGGGCAGCTAGGTTGCACAGTGGATAAAATGCTGGGCCTAGAGTTGGGAAGACCTGAGTTCAAATCTAGCCTCAGACACTAGCTGTGTGACCTTGGGCAAGTCACTTAACCCTATTTGCCTCAGTTTCTTTATCTATAAAATGAACTGAAGAAGGAAATGGCAAACCACTCTAGTATCTTTGCCAAGAAAACCCCAAAATGGGGTCCCGGAGAGTTGGACATACTGAAATGAATCAACAACAACAACATAAAAGCTCTTGGCCCTGCCCTGTAAGACAAGAGAAACTTAACCCTTCTTCCATTTAACAGTCCTTCAAATATTTGAATACAACTAATATGTCACCTCCTAGTATTCTCGTCTCCATGTCAACATCTGCAGGTCTTTCAGCCCATCTCCAACGGCATGCCACCCTCCTGGCTGTCCTCCTCTGCTGCATACTCAATTTATCAGTGTCCTTCTCAAATGGTGGCCCCCCAAAAAAACCCAGAACACAATATTTCCAATGTGGTTTGACAGGGGCAGAGTACAAAGGGATTATCGTTTCTATTCCTGAAAACTGTGCCTCTCAATTCAACCCAAAATTACATTCGTTTTTTGGTTGTCACACACAGCTGTCTCATAGTTGACTTGCAATTCACTTAGCCCTCCTTCCCTGTTGTAGTTTTCAGATAAATTGCTAACAATGCTGCTCCATCTTTTACTTTTAGTGATTAATTTTTGAACCCAGGAGTAAGACTTTACATTGATTCCTCTGGAATTCCATCTTATAAGAGTCAGCCCAATGATCTAGCCTGTTAAGCTCTGTCACCCGTGTGTCACTGTCTTTCCTATCTTTATGTCATCTGCAAATTCCACGGAGATGGATACAGTGAACACCAGGCAAGTGGACGTTACCACCTGAGACTGGTCATTTATAAGCTTCTGCTCTAGCTGGCTGAAAAAAATCAGACCAGTGCTGTGCTGGAGCCAGCTTAGATGGACTTTTGAGAACCAATTGTTAAATCTTCAGTGTGAGCATTTATGCCTTGGAAATAGATAAGTGCTACAAATCAGACCTTGGTTTATTGTTTTAAAAATTGTCTAGATTTCAGAAAGTGATTGAGAAAATATTAATAATTCAGATTAAATTTAAAAGTGTGTATGTGTACATTTCCCTTCCCCAAAGAACTCATTATTAAACATTTACCGACATCCCCTGATCAGACCACACTTCCTTATGGGTTAAACTTCCATTTTCTTGGGAAGTGAAGGAACCTCAGCCTGTAGCTTTAGAAGGAAGAGGCTGCTTGTGGAATTGGGTCCTCCCGAGGCCAGCTCCTGGCATTTTCTACCTTCCTCTTCTGTAGGACTAATAATGGGCAACAGTGATATGTCTGGATTGACATAGGGAGGAAATGTACATGACAACTTTATTATATATTTAAAAGGAATAGCAAGTTGTACATAATAGATTTGCAATTTCATGTGCAATCATCTTTTTAATTATATTGTGTTGTGGGAATTCTTGTTTTATTCCATAAACTAAAAATTAAATAAATTTTTAAAAAAAGAAACCAAAGGAGGAGATGAATGAAGGGTCTGCATGAAGATTCCATTAATAGAGAGAACATTGAGAGTCATTGAATTCTGGAATTGACTTTAACGATCATCACCCAACTGGCTGTGCTGCTGAACCTAATAAAGAGTATTCTCTAGTGGAAATTCCTTCAACTAGGAGCTAATGGTGATGATAATAATAATAATAGTGATGATGATGATGATGATAGCTAGCATGTATATAGCACTTTAAGGTTGCAAAGTGCTTTACAAATGTTACCTCATTTTGAGTGTCATATTGCTTGCTTTCTCAATGGATGGGGGAGGGGCTGGATGGCAGGAGGAAATTTGGAACTCAAAATTTTTAAAATGAATGTTAAAAAACCCAACAAAACCTTTAAAAGTAATTTTCCTCATAACTTCTTTTATCTTTCCTTATTCCTTTGTCCTCACAATTTTCTTATTTTAGCCTCACACCAACTCTGGAAGATAGATGTTATTATTATCTCCATTTTACAAATGAAGAAACTGAGGCAGACAGATTAAGTGATCAGGATTGTATGGTTAGTAAGAGGCCAAATTTGACTTCAGGTCCAGTGCTCTATCTACCATGCCACCTACTTGCCTATATACCAGGCGCAGGTCCTCTGGGCCCATATCCTTCTCCAGGGAGCTGATGCCCTAGAATCAGAACTTACCTCGTTCCCAGGGATTAAAGAGTAGTGTGAAATGGCCCAGGAGGTATTCCGTCCTTCGAGAGGCCCGCAGCAGGAGGGAATAGTGACCAATGATGGCATCGGCAGGTGTGGTCACCGATATGGTCCAGCTACAGAAATCTCTGTCTTCTACCGCCGCACTCCACCATTTAGGATTGCCTTGGCTGGTGATGGGGAATTTGACTTTGGTTTTGTTTGTCTTGGAAGGCTGCTTTCCTAAAGTGACACAGAGATCAGTCTGACATTGGTACCTTTGGTGATAACTCAGAGCGAGGACAGAGTAATAACAAGTTAGTAATGTGAGTGCAAATTGGGATGTGAGGTATAGAGAGATGTGTGTTCAAATATACTTCACCCAGAGCAGGTATGTGGCACAAAGGCTAGAACACTGACCCTGGGGTCAGGAGGACTCGAATTAAAATCTTGCCTCAGACACTTATTAGCTGTGTGACCCTGGGCAAGTCACCTAATTACCTCCAAAAGTTCTCAGTTAGGACTCTTACAAGCTTCTGCAAAGGTGATATTAAAATTGGACCAGTAGAAAAGAAACGTAATCTTCCCATTGGAGAGGTAGTGTAGTGAAGTGGGTAGAGAACCAGAATCAGTCAGGGAGATCTGGGTTCAAGTCCTGCTCATGACACATAATAGCTCTGTGATTGAACAAGTTATCTCTCAGGGCCTCTAGGCAACTCTCAAAGACTCTTTCCAGAGCAATTATAGATCCATTTTGGTAGAGGAAGCTTCCTCACTGCACCAGGTCTGTTTTAAAAAAATATGTCCTCATAGGGGGCAGCTAGGTGGTGCAATGGATAGAGCACCAGCCCTGGAGTCAGGAGGATCTGAGTTCAAATCTGGCCTCAGACACATAACACTCATTAGCTGTGTGACTCTGGGCAAGTCACTTAACCCTAACTGCCTCACCAAAAAATGACATGTCTTTGTGTCAGTGCTGCTAAAGCAGACCCAGATAGTAATAACAATTAATTTTTCAGAATGTCTTCATCTATATTACTATCATCATGAGAGGCATAATATAGAGCAGGGTTGGGGAGCCTGTGGCCTTCTAAGTCCTTGGGTGCGACCTTTTGACTGAGTCCAAGTTTGACAGAACAAATCCTTTCCTTAAGGGGATTTGTTCTGTGAAGTTTGGATTCAGTCAGAGGGTCACACCAGGACCTAGAGGGCCACATGTGGCCTCAGGGCCACAGGTTCCTCAGCCCTGATGTAGAGCGTAGAATACAGTACTGGGCTTTTCAGTCAAGAAGTTGTTGTTTCAGTCGTGTCTGACTTTTCATAACCCCATTTGGGATTTTCTTGGCAAAGATGCTGGAGAGTTTGCCATTTCCTTCTCCAGTCCATTTTACAGATGAGGAAACTGAGGCAAACAGAGATTAAGTGACTTGACCAAGGTCACACAGCTAGTAAGTGTCTGAGACCAGATTTGAATTCAGGGCTTCCTGACTCCAGGCCCAGTACTCTACACCCTGTGCCACCTAGCTCCCCACTGAGTCAGGAAGGCCTGGGTTCAAATCTCACTTTGGACATTTACCAGTTGTATCACCTTGGTTTCCTTACCTGTAAAGTGGGAGCGATCATACCTACAGTACTTCCTCATGAAGGTTGTGTTATGAGGCTCAAATACAAGAATTTGGTGAACTGACTTGGCAAACTTTAAGTTGGTCATTGTTATTTCATTAGATCTTCTTCAAAATCTTCAAGGTAAGTGGGTTAAATATTGTTATTGTGGCTGTGTGCCAAGTGGGAGAATTGAGGCCCGGACTGTGACTCGCCCAGTCATATGGATGGCTAGTTAGTAGTGATGCTATGCCTAAAATACAGGTCTCCTGATTCCTAGTCTGGTGCTCTTCCCACTTTCCCATGGTATTCAGCTCAACAGCTCAGGCCCCAGCTAATAATAACAATAATAATAACTACCATTTATTTAGGATTTACTCTGCACTAGGCTTTTTGTAATTATTACCTTATTTGATCTTCACAACCCTGGGAGGTAGATGATATCCTCCCATTTTATAGATGAGGAAAATGAGGCAAACAGAGTTTAAGTGACTTGCCTAGGGTCACACCACTAGTAAATATCGGAGGCTGGATTTGAACTCACTTCCTCCTAACTCTAGGCTCAGTGATCTATCCATTGTACCACCTAGCAGACCCATATTTGCCTAACTTTCTTCACCTTCTCTCCTTCCCCCCCACTCCTGCCAACCTCCAACCTCAATCCATTCCTTAGTTTACTTTTTCCTTTAATCCAGAAAAATAGAATTTAGTATTTAAAAGTATGGTCAGGGTCAGAGTATCTCTCAGGGTACTGGTGAGATCGCCTTTGGACAGTACTTTTTTAAACCAGAGGAAAAAGGGGTGTGGAGTAGAGCCACAAGCTAAACTGTCCTTACTTTTGCCTTTCAGTGATATCCTACCACTAATAACTGAGTTCCCCATCACTGCAAGTTCTATCCCTTGGGTATTTCATAGCCCTGTAATCTCTAGCCAGTGGCCTGGCATCATTGATTTGGGCTAGTCTGCTAGCTGGAGGGTGTCTAATATTGGATGTAATTGTGCCTTTACCCTTCAGTGCCTTACCACATATAGAAGAAAAGGGAAAGGGACAAGTACTTATTAAGTACCTACTGTGTTCCAAGGACATTAAGTGACTTGTCCAGGGTCACACAGCCAGTATCTGAGGTTAGATTTGAACTCAGGTCTTCCTTACCACAAACCCAACTCTCTATCTACTGCACCACCTAGTGGCTTCTAAATGGACAAGAAGGGCAGTATTTCCCAGCCACATGGGAAGTGTTCAGCCTTGGACAAGGACAAACTTACCTGTTTGAGCCACAAGGGTGACCTTCTTTAAAATCTGAAAGAATCCTCGAACCACTGGGTGTATGTGCAGAGTGATGGTGAAGGGTTGTCCTCGGCGGACAACAAGGCGCCTGGAACTAATGTCTTTGGTGTGATGTTCCTCATTGTTTCTGGCTACCTGCAAGTCACAGCTCTTGGAATGTAGGGCTGTTTGGGGGAAATGACATTGTGAGGTTTGAGCCAGTGTCTTAGATCAAGTACCACACTCATTCTAGTTGTTGCCAATCTTCACTGACCACAGTCCTAAAACCTACAACCTACAGCTCTGGTATCCTGTATCCTGAGACCTGTAGCCTCTCGGATCACTAATACTTACACAGCTATCTCTTCCACACCACGGCGATTAGGAGTGCGGTGCCCCTGCGATCTGGAAAATCTGCGTAAAAGTTTTTGGCTCTCCCTTCCTACCAGAGAAGAAGTCCGAATTTTTCCTTTTTCTTTTATGGGGTGTTTACAGTACCTTGTTGTAAAAATTGGGTTAAGTATTGGGTCACAGGCTATGTGTAGGTCAATGCTAAATTAAAAAACTTATTCTGTGTCATCTGCTCACGTTTGCATGTTATCTGTGGCTTCCACAAAACTCCCCCAAAATTCCCATTTAATTTCTTATGCCAACTCACGGCATGTATCGAAACTGAGATGGGGAAAGTCGAGATGTGGAAGGGATAACTGAATTTCTATTGACCCCGAATCACAGAATTAGGTAGACTTAAAGAGAGCCTTAGAGACCATTTTCTAGGAGAAAAAACTGAAAGGTGAATAAGAGGGTAAAGTGATTTATCCAAGGGAGGGAAGGGGCAAGAATTTATTAAACGTCTATTATGTGCCGGGCGTTGTATTAATGCCTCAAAAATTTCCTCATTTGATCTTTACAACAGGCAGATGGTTTTATTATCATTCCTATTTTGGGGAAACCGAGGCAAATAGCAGCTAAGTGACTTACCCAGACTTACATGGTTAATAAATATCTGAGACTAAATTGGAATTCAGTTCTTCCCGACTCCAGGCTCAGTGTTCTATCCACTGTGCCGTGTAGCTAGCTGCCTTTGATTAGCTGCCCACAGGACTTCACCCTACCAGCATTTCATTCATCTCCCAGTAGCTTTCCAAGGTAGAGAAGGAGCAAGGAATATTATGATTTGTTGGTGGTGCTGTTTAGCTGTTTCAGTTGTGTCCAACTCTTTATCACCCCATGTGGGATTTTCTTGGCAAAGATACTAGAGTGGTTTGCCATTTTCTTTTCCAGCTCACTTTACAGATGAGAAAACTGAGGTAAACAGAGTTAAGTGACTTGCCCAGGGTCACACAGCTAGTAAGTGTCTGAGACTGGATTTGAACTCAGGTCTTCCTGACTTCAGACCCAGTGCTCTATCTACTGTGCCCAGCAGCCCCATATTGTGATTAGCTGATAGGTATTCTCATTATATGGATGAGAAAAGCAAAATAACTAGAGTCTATTCTTTTTGATTTAACAAACATTTATTTAATGCCTATTACATGGAATGTAATGTTTCTCAAGAAATAAGATAAAAGGAGATGTTATTTAAAAAAATTAAGGTATTATGAATGTAGTAGTATAATAATAATAACTAACATTTATGTAGTACCTACTACATGCCAGGTACTGTGCTAAGCCCTGTACAATTATCATCTCATTTGATCCTCACCAAAACCCTGGGAGATAGGTACTATTATTGTCCCTATTTTATATATTGGGAAACTGAGGCAAACGGGTTAAGTGACTTGACCAGGATCACACAGCTAGTAAATGTTGGTGGCTGGATTTAGACTTAGGTCTTCCTGTCTCCAGGCTCAATGCTGTATCTAATTGCACCACCTAGGGGACTATTACTAAACCACAATAAATAAATGGATAAAAAAATACTAAGAAGAATATGGGAAGGGAAAAAATCCCTATACTGTGTAATAGTTACCAAACTGGGCCCAAGAGAAAATGCAGCTCCCTCCTTCTTTGCACAGGTCGGGGACCATGAGTTTACAGCACTGAATATACTGTCTTACTTAGCTGATGTGTTGATCCATTTTCTTGGAATGCTTTTTTTTTTCTTTCTTTTTTATTCTTTGTTGCAAGGGATGACTTCCTGAGGAAATGAATGGAGGGGGATATATTGGGGAATGAAGGTCTTACAAAAGTAAAACATATTAATAAAATTTTAAATTTTAGAAAAAAATTATGAATCAGGGACTTTGCTTTTACGGAATTTACAGTGTAGTAGAGAGGATTTGACACCTACTCAGATAGCTATAAAGTAAGTTAGAACGTGATTGAGTAAATAGAAGAGATCCAAGCAGAGTGGTATAAGAGAGCTGAGGAGGAAAGTGATCATTTCTAACTGGGGGAATCAGGGAAGGCTTCTTAGAGGAGATGGTATTTGACCTGGACCTTGAAAGAAGAGAAGGGCTTCAAAAGATGGGAAAGAAAGTTCATTCTAGGCACTGAGACAGTACATACAAATCACATAGAGGCAGAAGAGGGCAAGACAGGATTCAAATAGTTTGACCCAAACATAGAAGACTGCATAAAGAAACAAGCATTTATTAAGCACCTTCTGTGTGCCAGGCACTGAGTTAAACACTTTACAAATATTATCTTATTTAATCTTCAAAACAACCTTCTGAGGTAGGTGCTATTATGATCTCCATTTTACAGTTGAGGAAACTGAGGCAGACAGAGATTAAATAACTTGTCCAGGGTCACATAGCTAGTAAGTGTCTGAGGCTAGATTTGAACTGAGGTCTTCCTGACTCAAGGCTAAGTGTTCTATTCACTTTACCGCTTAGGTGCCTTTCAAGAAGACTAATGTGTCTCCCCTCCAATTAGAGTTCAAGCCTTGATCTACCTCTCTTCTCCCCATAATGACTGTCCCTGGTGATCCCGCTTTTGACTTCTTTAATAAATGATATTTCTGATGGGCAGAAAAACAGAAACAACAAAACCCCAAGAAAACTAGTGTGAAATAAAGATGGAAAGGGCACTTGGTGCCAGATCATGGAGAGCTTTGAATGTCAGGCTAAAAAGTTTGTATTATATTCACTAAGCAATGGGAACCCCATGAAGGTTTTTTAGTAAGAGAGTGATATGATCAGCTCTATGCACTTGGGAGGTTATTTTAATAATGGTGACGTATAGATTGTGAAGGAGACAGACTAAAGACAAGGTGATCAATTATGTTGCAATAGTCCAGACAAGCTCGCCTGCTGAACTAGGATGGTGGTGGTAGGAGAGAAAAGAAGAGAGAAATAGTGTGGTGGGGAATCAACTGGACATAGGAATTGATTGGATGTGGGTGGGATATTCTCTCTGACTGTCCTCTGTAACTGGAATGTTCTCCCTCCTCCACTCTGACTACTGGTTTCCTTTTAGTCTTAACTAAAATCTACCTTCTACAAAAGGCTTCCCCAATACCTCTCATTCCCAGTGCCTTCCCTCTGTTCATTATTTACTACCAATCCTGTATTTAGCTTGCTATATATGTATTTGTTTACATGCTGTCTCACCCATTAGACTGTAAGCTCCTTGAGGGCAGGGACTGTCATTTGCCTCTTTTTGTATCCCCAGCGCGTAGCACAGTGCCTGGCACATAATAGGCACTTCATAAATGTTTATTGGTTGATTGATTGGCTTCTGTGCATTTAAAAATGTTTCTTTTCTTTCTTTTCTCTTTCTCTTGTTTGTCCACAATCCATCTTCCACTTCGCTTCCAAAGTGACTTTGCTAAAGTATAAGTCTGACCACGTCAAATCCCTGCTTCTTGGCAAGTTGCAGTGGCTTCTATTACCTCCAGGATCAAATGTAAAGTCCTTTATTTGTCATTTAGAGCTCTTCACGACCTGGGTCCTTCCTGACCTTCTGATTTTCTGACATTGTACTCCCTTCACATACTCTATTGTCCAGCAATAGAGTCTGTTGGTCTATGTGTTTTTTTTCCTAGAACACAACACTCCGTCTAATGTGCACCAGCTGCTGCCCGTGTCTTGAATGCTCACCCCCAACCTCTGACTCCTAGAATCCCTGGTTTCCTTTAAGATTCAGTTCAAGCTTCACCTCCTCAAGGACCCTCTCCTGGTTCCCCCTAGCTACTGGTGCTATCCCCTCTAAGATGCCTTTTCATCTCCTCTGTATGTATTTATCTTATACAATCTGTCACCCCCCTCATTAAAATGTAAACTCCTTGAGGACAGGGACTGTCTTTTGCTGCTTTTTGCATCCCCAGGGCTTAGCACAGTGCCTAGTACATAGGAGGGGCTCAATAAATGTTTATTGAATTAAAGTGGATAAGGAAGAATTGATGATGATGATGGTAGTGATGGTGGTGATGATGATGATGATGATGATGACGACTCAGAACGGTACAATGGAAAGAGCGCTATCTCTGATACTTATTCCCTGTGGTAAGTCGGGCAAGCCACTGAATTTCCCTGGGCCTCATCTTCCTCATCTACAAAATGAAGAGGCTGGGCTATGATCCCTTTCCGCTCCAGGTCTAGGACCTGTGATCAAGGATCTTCTAAAATGATAGGCCTAGACAAGAAACTCAGTAAATCCAAGGTAGAGGTGAATGGGAGATGTTGAAGAGGCTAGAGATCAAGAAAGTGAGAGTGAATCATTTAATTTGTATCTATCGTTTTCTTTCTTTTTCTTCTCCTTTCCTTCTTTATTGATGATGTAGCTGATGAAAAAGCCCCATAAATTTGCTGGTGACACCAAATTGGGCAGAGTGGCTTGTCTTGGAGAACTACATTGAAATTCAAACATGACCTTGGCAAGTTGGGGAACTGGGCAGATAGAAACAAGATGAAAATGGGGATGGATGGTGCCAGATAATTTACTTAAGTAGAAAAAAACCAAATTATACAAATGCAAGATTGGGCAGGATTGGTTTTGTGGAATCATGACAGAGAGACAGCCAGAAATTTTACAAATGAGTATGAGTCAGCAATGGCTTAAAACTAGGGATTTTTAAATTACTATTATTACTATTACTATTATGAGATAATATTTGTAAAATGCTTAGCATAGTAGATGTTTAATAAATGTTTATTCCCTACCTTTCCTCCCATTGTGTAAGATCCCAGACTAAGGAGAGGAAGTAGAGGGAGGTGGGGAATTGGTTTCTCATGAGTAGTTAGATAGGATGCCCTCCCTCTACCATGGGAGGACACTGTGATGAATTTACAAGTAATGACATACTGGTAATGACAACTAAGAAGTCCAGGGGTCAGCAGATCATTGTGTATTTATAGTCATCAAGTAATCAACAAGTGTTTAGTAATTGCCAGCTATTGCTGCTGTTATTTGTTTTTTGTTCTCAAAGAGGACCACGACACCAGGAAGATGATGCCATGACTTGCAAGTGATTTGGATTTAAGTAAGGAAGGACTGTGTAAAGTCACTGGCCTCACTTTCTCTTCCTGAGCCATCTGGGTCCAGTGGCAAGATATAGATCAGGACAACTGGAGATGGCCCCCAATTAAATGATGCAGTGATGGGGTGCTGTGCCTGAAGTCAGAAAAACTCATCTTCCTGAACTCAAATCTGGCCTCAAACACTTACTAGCTGTGTGACCCCGGGGCAAGTCACTTAATCCTGTCTGCTTCAGTTCCTCATATGTACAATGGGCTGGAGAAGAAAATGGCAAACCACTCCAGTATCTTTACCAAGAAAATCCCATATGGGGTCATGTAGAAGAATGGGCACACGACTGAACGACAACGCAAGTTATAGAATGGTTGTGGAGTTATATAGGTGGAGGGACTTTCCACATTAGGACTTCAACATCAATGAAATCACAGTTCCAGATCCCCCAAACCCCACCTCAATGCTTCAAATTTAAAAAAAAAATAACAAATATGTTCATTTAGGAAAGGTCGTATTAAAAAGTATCCCTCATTGCACCCCTGGCAGGTTTCTACTTCGCCTCTCCCTATTTCTGGCCCTGGCAGGGGTCTTCTCTCTATTGTGTTTGGATTTTCCCTTTGGCACAAAACTTTAAATTAAATGGGCAGTCAGTTATTAAGTGCCTACTAGGTTCCAGGCACTATGTTAATCCCCCGATTAAAAAAAAAATCCTATTCTCAAGGTGCCATGGGTCTGGAGTCAGGAACACTCATCTTCATGTGTTCAAATCTGGCTTCAAATGCTTACTAGCTGTGTGACCCTGGGCAGCTCACTTAATCCTGTTTGCCTCCATTCCTTATTTGTAAAATGAGTTGAAAAAAGAAATGGCAAGCCACTCCAGTATTTTTGCCGAGAAAACCCATAAAGGGTCTGAAATGACCCAACAACACTATGTTAATCCCTTCAGAAACAAAGGAAGACGAAAGACAATCCCTATTCTCAAGGAGCTTACAGTCTAACAACACACCTCTCCTGTTAGTAAGAGACTTTTGTCTTTTTTTTCTTTATAAATGTGAAGTCAAAACATTAACATGCACCTTTATGTTCAGAAGTAGCTGAGTGCCTTAAACAACTCAATTTCAGAAAAGGAAATTGAATTAGCTGTAGAGGAACTGCCAAAGAAAAGATCCTGACCCAGACAGATTTACAGGCAAATACGACCAAATGTTTAAACGATTAATACCTGTACAATGCATATTTTTCTAAAAATCTGAGATAAAAAGTGCTCTACCAAGCTCCTTTTTAAAAGTGAGACAAATAAAGTTCCAAGTCAAGGAAGGGAAAAACAAAGACAGAGTATGATGAATATCTATTTTAACATTTTAAATAAAATCCTAGCAAAAAAGACTACAGCAATATCTCCAAAAAATATTCACTATGATCAAATTAGATTTATATCAGAGATATGAATATAGTACAAAATTAGGAAAATGATTAATATAACTAATCATATTAAAAACAAAAAACCAACCAGAAATAGCACAATAAATCAAGAAAATTCTGAATTTATACAGTATCATTTATCTATTTTTTTTCCTCTTAAGTGTTAGTTTCATGGTCAAATGCTTCCATCAAGTAGTCCAGGTAAACACCTATAATGCTAGGTCACTCTCTGGACAGTTTTCAAGACAACAGACCATTGCTGTTCCTTTCTTTTGTTTTGTTTTCTTTTTTGCTTTTTGATGAGGCAATCAGAGTTCAGTGACTTGCCCAGGGTCACACAGCTAGTAAGTGTCAAATGTCAGCTGTTCCTTTCTTTACTCCTCATTCCCCACCCCCCCTCCACCTCCAGAAAGGATAAAGACATACATTCATATTTAATTTCTTAAGTATTTCTGACTCTCCATAAATGAGGATGAGAAATTCACCTTCAAATTCCATCACTACTATCAATGTCTTTACTTCTAATGGTAACTCCTCATGTATTGAAAGGCAGCCTACATAGGCCTCATACCCGGCTTACCTTGTCCCATGTCTTCAAGTTCCTATTATCTATCCAGCTGTTAAGAGGAAGCTTACTGGTTCTCAGACTATTGTTTCTGGACTGTCACTTTGAATCTGTTGTCCAGGCTGATAGTTGAAGGCATAGTATGTGCTTTAAGAGCCTGCTAATGTCAATGTTTTGTTTCTACCTTCGCTTTTGGTGCCCCAGGCAGGCTCCATCTCTTCTGTCCCCTCCCCTTGGTTATCTTACTGACCAGGTTGACCCATTTTCCTTTTATCTTTGGACCTCATGCTGTGTGGGCTGGGTGTGTTCTCAGCAGGCTAGGGAAAAGAGCTATAAATTTTCATGGCTTTAGACAAACATCACCCAACCTACCTATGCAGCTGCCCCCACAGTTCTCATATAGCCTTAGATACAATGGGAATAAAAAGCTCAAAGAAAGAGGTATTTACAAGCATTTCCATTTCCAAATATCAGGAAAAACTCTGAACATGTGTACTTTCTGGCTAAGCCTATTTGAAAGAGATAAGATAGAATTCATTTAAAAAAATAAATGTATCAGGAACTTCATTTTTCCTTCTTTCTTCCACTTTCTTGGGGATGGATTAATTGCCAGGGAAAGTTAGATTCTCCTTTTCCATGGTGATGGCGAAAAGCAGGTTAGGAGATTTTGAATACCACTCTTGTGCACATATATAGAGTGACAAAGACTCCTTAATTTGAGAAGCAAATGGGAAGAAACTGGGGTACTTTTGCAAGCTCATGGGAAGTCCAGAAGAAGGTGGGAAACACATTGCATGGGAGTCGAGGAGAAAGGGCCTTGGAGTGTGAAGTTACCTTGCCCCAACCCAGTGTTGGTGATGGAGACTGACTAGAAGATGAGAGAGATAAAGTGTATTTCTGACTCCTTGGTACGCTTTTGTGTGAGGTGAGGGGTCAGCAAGGGAGCACAAGGGAGGAGCTTCAAAATGGAGTGGGGCGGGGAACGCTACTTCACTTGAAGTATGATATTGCCAGAAGGAAAACTGAAATACTATCTACCCTCTGCCATATTGAGACTTTCTCTGGGAAAAGGGCCAGTGTTGCCCCCTGCTGGAAAGAGCCCAGAAGTGCAGGCAAGGACAATGTTGCTGGGAGTTTCTGGGAGTTCCTGGGATTATTGCCATGTAGACTGTGCAGAGATCTGCATAGGTATCACACTGAGAAAATCCCTAAAGCTATCTATGCCTGGTGTGGCATGACTGTAAATGACTAAGGCTATCTAGGTCACTGGGGACGTTTTGTTCATTGGTAGATGGTCAATGTTTTTCGTGCGCTCTAATAAGAGATCTATTTGCTTTCTTTGACCTATGAATAAACCTGTGTTTTATGAGCTGTGTGCTGGCAAGAAGAGTTGGTGACAACACTCTGAGTGTTGTTATAGGGTGAAGTTCTCCGGTTTTCCAGCTGAAGTCTGTGATTCAATGAAGTGAGAAGCATCACGTGTGAGACTCTGACATAAAGTTTCCCTACATGAGCACAAAGTTGAGGGGGTGGGTGTTCAGCTGGAATAATAATAATCCTTAGCTATGACTATTCTCCCTTAGAAGAATCATACTGTTCTGAGAGTATGTGTACTCCTTAGGATTTCTTTCTGTTCAAGTCCTCTAAAGAAAAAGCAGGGTGGGGTTGGATACCTCACCTTTCACAGGGCAAAATAAATAAACAAACTAATTAATTAGTTAGTAAGTGAAATAAAAAAAAATCCTTTTTATTTCTTATACTCTGTTGTTGTTGTTTGGTTGTATCTAACTCTTCATGACCCTGAGGACCATAGCACATCAATACTTTCCGTGGGGTTTTCTTTGCAAAGATACTGGAGTGGCTTACCATTTCCTTCTCGGTTAAATGACTTGCCCAGGATCCCATAGCTAGTAAATGTGAAGCTAGATTTGAAATCAGGTCTTCCTAACTCTCAGCCCAGTGCTCTATGCACTGCTGCCTCCATGCTCTCTCTTGTTGTTGTTCAATCTTTCAGTTATGTCTGACTCTATGTGACTCTATGAACTTTTATCCATGGGGTTTTCTTGGCAAGGATATTGGAGTGTTTTGCCAGTTCCTTCTCTAGTGTGTCCCCATTTTACAGATGAGGAACTGAGGCAAATAGGGATTAAACGACTTGCCCAGGTCCCATAGCTAGGAAGTGTCTGAGGCCCAATTTTAACTCAGATCTTCCTTACTCCAGGACCGGTGCTCTATCCACGGCACCACCTAGCTACCTCCATGCTTTGTCTTAACCTTTCCCCAAGAGCAGATCAGACCATAAAACTCTATTCAATCAAATCTAGGAGCTTCCTGTTGCCTCTGCGCAAAAAAGATAAACTCCTTTGTTTAGTATTAAAGCTTTTCACAACCTTGCCTCAATTTACCTTTTTAGTCTCATTGGACATTACTCCATAGTAATGTTAAGGAAAACAAATTGGAAAGACTTCAAAGCTTATATCAAAGCATTCATGACTCCAGAAAACCAATGATAAAGTACATCTCCTTCCTCTTAACAGTGGAGTGATAGAATAGAGGTACAGAATAGAACATACATTTTCAGATGTGTGGATCCACTGTAGGGATGTTTCACTTGACAAAATTCCGGAGTTCTGATCAATGCAATCACTAATCATGACTTCAAAAGACTTATGAACAGTATACTTCCCACTTCTTTGCATAAAGATGAAGTAGTAGACATGCAGAAAGAGAAATATATGTATTTTATGGGCATAACTGATATTTGATTGTTTATTTGTTTATTCATTTATTTATTTGTTCATTCATTGACTATACTTATTGATTAAAAGGCAAGGTTTCTATTTGAGGCCAGGGAAGCAAGATAGTAGGCAAAAATGCAAGAAAAAAAAGAGTATCGGGGGCAGCTAGGTGGCACAGAGGATAGAGCTCTAACCTTGGAGTCAGGAGGACCTGAGTTCAAATCTGGCCTCAGACACTTGACACTTACTAGCTGTGTGACTCTGGGCAAGTCACTTAATCCTGATTGACTCACCAAAAAGAAAAAAAAGAGGATTAATAGAACATTAAAAAATACACAAAAGAGAGCAGAAGGAAGCTTAGAAAGCTTGTAAAAACAGGTCTGTTTTGTTAATATCATGTTGAATTTAATATGTACTAAAAAAAACAAAGCTCATAGTTTCATATGCAGTCCTCATTACTTTCTTTGTGTTTTGTTTATTGAAATGTTCATATTGGGTGATGTTTGTTAAATTCATAATTAAAGAAAAAAATTTAAAAATAAATATATATATATATATAGTGGGATGATCTGGGATCAACTTGGTGATCTTATAGTGGGGTAAGTCTTTGTGTAGGATTTTAATTTTATCTCATTAACAATGAATTGATTGACTTGGGTCATTGTGGATCAATTGGGGATAAATTAGTTGATGTGTTTTTTCTGTTGGAGACATTTTCTGGTGCTAGGTCAATAAAAAGGGAGTCAGTAGCAGTCAGTCTTTCTCCCCTCCTCCTCTCACCTTTTTCCCTTATCAGAGAGATCCAGAGAATTTAGCACAAGTAAGAACCCCAGAACCTGGAGAGTAGACTGCAGTCCCTTAGGGTTAACCAAAGTGAGGTACAGCTCTCCTCAGGGAACCTGCTAACGATCCCCTCCACCCTTCTACCCCTCAACTTGATGACCTATTGACCCAAGAGATGGCAGCAGTCAAAGTCAGTGGTGAAGCTAGAGTTTCTGAATTCTGAATTCTGAATGCCTGCAGTCTGCTAGCCAGCCAGCCGGAAAGAGAGATGCAGAAAGTGGGAGAGACGGAGACAGTAACACAGAAAGAGACAACAGAGACACACACTCACAGAGGGAGAGAGACAGAGACAGAGAGATGCAGAAAGAGAGAAGAGAATAGAGACAGAGAGACACAGGAAGAGAGAAACAGAGAGACAGACAGAGAGAGGGAGAGAGACAGAGAGAGGGAGGGAGGGAGAGAGAGAAAGAGAGAGAGAAGAGATAACAGAGACTAAGAAAGAGAGAAGGAGATAGAGAGACACAGAACAAGAGAAGAGAGAACAGAGACAGAAAGAGAGAGGGGGAGAGAGACACAGAGGGGGGTTGTGTTCCTGGGCAGTACCAACTCCCAGCTCCTTGCACAGAATCAGCCTGCACACATGGTCTCAAGAGCTGGAGTCGCAGCAAGAGACTTGGACTTTGGCCTTCGCTGTTACTGAAAAATTTTGAACAGTGAAGTCTTGATGGGAAGGGAGTTGTTTTTCCAGAAACACTGTTTGTTTTCCTTCTATAGAGAGTTCAAGCCCTTAGGGTAATACCAATCAATCAATTAATCCACCAATCTATTAACATACATTTATTAAACATGTTCTATGTGCCAGGCACTCTGCCAGTCATTAGAGATACAAAGCAAAGAGAAAAAAAAAACAGTCCTTGCCCTCAAAGAGCTTACATTCTAATGGGGGAGACAACATGTAAATAAATAGGCACGTAAGCACATAGACCAGACCTGTGGTTTTATTCTTGCAGAAAGCTCTCAGTGAGGAACTTCTACCAAATGCAGGATGGCAATCTTCTCCAAAACTTATCTTCTTAGATAATTGCTGCAGTGTTTTTCAGACTTTTTTTTTTTAATCTCAGAACTCCTTTATATGCTTAAGAGTTATTGAGGACCCTCCAAAGAATTTTTGTTTATGTGAATTATATCATCAATATTTACCATATTAGAAATTAAAATGCTTTAGTATTATTATGAAAATATTTTTTACCTCAAGGACCCCTGAAAGGGTCTTGGGGACCCTATGGGTTCCCATACCACACCACTAGCCTAGACTCAGGGCCCTAGAGCATTGAAACTTTAAGGAATTTATCCAGGATCACACTGCAAGGTTGTTTCAGAGAAAGAACTTGAACTTGGGTGGTCATGGTTCTAAAGACAGCTCTCTACTCATGCTGCTTTTCAAATAGGTACGTACAAGATACACATAGAATGGATGGCGGGTAACCTTAGAAGGGAATGCCATTAAGCTAGAGGGCTATATGGCTTTCTGGAATGACTCACTGAAATGACTCACTGAAATGCCAAGGGGTTGCCTGTCTAACAACTCCAAATTTACGTGTCTTCCAAAAGAAGTCCAAAGAATAGGAGGG